AGGAGAACGCGCGTTGGATTTTCCAGCTCAAATGGCTGTGTGCGAGTGGGTTTGGGGCAGTGGTACGGGGAGAAGCGGTGCCGTTGAGCGCCGGTGAGCTAACCTTTCAGCTGAGATCAGATTCTGCTGTAGAGAACATGCACAAAAATCCTCTTGGACCACACCAGAGGTCCTCATTTGCATTACTTAGGCTGCTGGGCTCGTGGGTGTAAGGCCCAGCAACAGAATGAGTGGAGATGTGCACTGAAAAAAGTATTAATGACTTGGGCAGGAAACAAAGTCTAGGATATTTCCAACTCCAAACACAAGGTGGGGGTTTTTCCTGTGTCTCCCTTAAGCAGGGAAGAACAATCTCCAAAGTGTTAAACACATTAATCAGAGACTTCCCTGGAGGCTAGAGAGACTTAGGAGCCCCCAAGAAGGGATGCCCATTTTAACTGTTCTGCTTTGGATGCTATTTTTGCAGTAAGAGCACCCTCCTTCAGCACAGCTCAAGAACTGTAGGAGCCTGGATGAGGAAGCAAGCACACAAGAGGATGTTTGGGTTTGATCTGCTCAGCTGAAGAGCAGAGCGATACCAAGGCCACAATGGAGTTCTAAATCTTTCATACTGATTGAATCAGGAGGAAGGCAGGAAATAGCCATCAGAGCTGTATCCAGCTATGCTGCTTAAGCAGGGGTGTGGTGGAGATGCGTCATGCATGTCTACAAAACCACTATGTGTATGTGTCAGGGTTGCAGCTGTTGACTCTTGTGGCACAGGACAAAGTTGGTCATAGGTCTGGTGAGGGCAGAGAAAGAAAGGAAGAAACTTCACAAGGATTTATTTGAAGGCAGCATTAGTGTACAGAGAAAACCACTACACGTACAGCTTCTGCGAGTGTTTACATCTACTTTCTGGAGTCCACTGGAGGCAACCTTTATGCAATAGCAGTGAAATTACATCCCTTCACTAGGCCTACATGGTACTAGTTGGTTTTACTCCTCTCTTCTGCTTTAGACGTTTCAGCCAAAGTCACTGCCCTAAGCACTGATGCTTTCTTCCCTTCAGAGTGCATTGCTACCAAGGGAAGGTAACAGCTGTCTTAGTTTCCATTTTCTCCCTTGCAAACCTCATGCATGGCAGCCTTTGTGAACTGCTGCTAACTGGTCTATCAAGACAGTCAGAAAAGTAAGATGAAGCAGTGGGCTGTTTGAGTGAAGGGGCTTCTGCCTTCCGCAGACCCTTTGCCATATACTGTTAGGAATACAGCAGTAACTCGGAGGTTATGACAGAGAAAAAGCAGTTCCTTCATCCAGGGCATAATGCAAAAGGTGGGAGGCAAAAGAAAGCAGATGTTTCTTCTGAGCCTGACCTGGCCCTGAGTTACAGGAGGTGACAAGTCAGTGGGAAGTAAAGATGCCGTGGAATCCATAAGGCATTTGCACTGCAACTTCTGCTCGCCCCAGTTCTGTGAAGGTCTCTGCATCCAAGACAAGCAGGAAAGCACTCTGATTCTGAAGGATAAAAAGAAAGCCAGAATGAATGCCCAGGCTGAATTTCATTCCACTGTCCAAACCACTACATCTGTCACCCACAAAGGCGCCCAAATGTACAACCAGACCGTAGAGACTAAACTGTAAGACAGCTGGCCAGGAGCACCGACAGTCAGAGATGCCACTCAAGAAACACTGACTTTCCAAGGCACACACCTACCTGAAGTTTTTCTGGCTGTGCTTGGCAGCTGAAGAGGCACACATTTTGGGGGTCATGGTGCTAGAACTATTTGCCAGAGCACCTCAAATTCAGTTTTATGGTTTAGAAAGTATACCTAATACTACATGACTGTGACAAACTAGTAGCAATAAGTTACCTCAGTGGGGGAGACCACAACAGACAAGATGACTCCTCTGTCTTCTGCCGTGGCATTAGGCACTGGCACAAACACAGGCTCTGATGGGTAGCATCCATCCTCCTGCCAAATCTGTCAAGCACAGTAACACATGGATGTGTTTAATTTCATTTATACTTGTCTACTACAGTTACAGTTGCAAGTTGGAGTGCTGCCCACAAAGATACCCAGGCATACTCCATGCTCCAAGAAACCTATAGTTCAACCTTTTAATTAATTGTTTTGATTCCAGTATTGTGTTGGTGCCAGTGTTGTGACAGCATGCCCCTTGTGCCAGGCATCATGCAATCAGGCAGTGAAAAGGGTTCCTGTTACTCATTTCCTCCAATAGTTTGTGCTGGCACATATGTAAGGTGTAAGCTGCAAGCTCAGAAAACACCACCACCCTAGCCAGCACAGCCACCTTCCCATCAGCCTAGTGCGGACCATGTTGTGCCCAGGCAGTGTGGACAAAGAGGTGCTGTGCCAGCAGAGAGGAGATCTATCACCATCACCACCTGAGGGCATAGCTGCTCCTCCTGTTACAGGCAGAGCCATAGCACCCCAAAGCTGTGCTGAAGGAGGGCGCTCTTACTGCAAAATGAGCATCCAAAGCAGAACAATTAAAATGGGCATCCCTTCTTGAGGGCTCCTAACTCTCTCTAGCCTCCAGGAAAGTCTCTGATTAATGGGTTTAACACTCTGGAGATCATTATTCCCTGCTTAAGGGAGACAGGAAAAATCCCATCTTGTGTTTGGAGTTGGAAATATCCTAGACTTTGTTTCCTGCCCAAGTCATTAATACTTTGGCAGTTTATCTCCAACTGCCTATGCTGCTTGGGTATTTTCTGTTCTGTCTGGTAAGAGATGACTCTTCCTTGGCCTGGAACATGCATGCCTACTTTATCCAACCCTTTCTGTTCCTTCATCTGTCTAGGAACCTGGAGTGGTACCTCTCCTGTTTGGAAAGTGTACCACATGCAGAAGGTGCCAGATGAGAGATGAAATCAGGAATCTCATCTCAGATCCATTTGAACAAAGATCCCCTAAAGTGTAAAGGGTCTTGTAAATGATCTGTCTTCAAGGACAGTTCAGTGGAATGACTCGCATTGCTGGAAAAATATAATCTCACTCCACCTCACCTTGAAATTCTTGGTCTCCACATCAACTTTGATCAAGGAATCTCCAACCAAATGCCGAAAACCACATCCGTAGAAGTAGCGGTATCTCCTACCATTGTACTGAGAGTAGTTGATCTGGGGGAACTCCAAGCCCCCAACCTTTTCAAAGCCCTCAGGGTAGAGATTTTCATGTGTGCACCAGACCTAGAAGAAGTATGCATTACATGAGTGTCAGTTTAGTTTTCCCTGGGCAGAAGACCTGATTGGTCCCACCAAGCCACTGCACAGCCATTGTGGAGAAGAAATGTTTAAGGATTAGCCTGATATGGTACTGAGGCAGGTGGAAGCACGCATTTCATCTCCCTTATCTATTTCACCCAAAGAACTGACTCGTCCACAGACCTTGGAAACTTCAAGGATCAGTCTAAAGTGAAAAACAGGAGCAAGTCCATGTATTCCTGCACTCCTAGCTCAGAAAATCCCAGGTCCAGCACTCAGCAATCTGATGTACAAAGTACACACAGAGATGACTCCAAAGAGCAGTTCTGTACCCAGGTGAAAGCACAGAGGATTTTATCAAGAAACTGAAGTTTGGCCAATTATTGTAAAGGCTCATAATCCACTCGGGCATTTTTGCTAAGTCACAATCTGTCTTTGCTCTCTCATTTAAGGCAATGTGGTAGTCTTTGTACGAAAACACTAAGTCCCATCTTAGTAATGACCAAACCTTGCTTGCTTGCTTGGTGGTCAAGATCTGAGAAGATAATGGCACAGGATGGTAACTGTTGCAGGCAATCTCACCACAGCCATAAATGCCATTTCATACATACCTTGCCGTCTGCGTCTTTCACAGCCCTTGCCAACGTATAAGACAGTGGGTTCAGATTCTTCCCCACAGGTGTGTCTGAATTCACATTCAGTGGGAGAACAAAGCGACGAGGGAAAGCTTGGGATATTGAGTCATAAATCTATTAGAGAGACAGAAAGTTACAGTTATGATGGAAAGAGGAGAGTGGCATTTTGGCCTAAGTGCCCTATTTGGGAACAATTCTGAAGTTTTAGATACTCCTCCCACCTCTGAGATTTTCTTCTTTCTATTACATGTTTTAACAAGTTCTGGTAAGGGCTCTGCTTGTTCCGGTGCTTTACAGTAGAAAACAAAAAGACAACCAATTAAACGGGCCAACATTGCTTTCACAGTAATTAATGCTGAAGTTAGCCTGCATGATATTCCTCTTCTGTTCTCAGGTACACATGGACTTTACGTTCGGGAAATCTTTACTTGAGGAGCAAAGGGAAGAGCAAATTAGCAGCCCCTCGTGTGCAAGACGTTAGGCAGGTTACATGAAAGGAATAATTCCACCACTGCCACTAAAGTTCTATTCAAGCCAAGTTTAGAATCCCTAATACTTCCAAATATGAAGCCTTCTAAATAAAATAGATGGCAAGGACCCTGTTTTGGCGTTTTTTCGGTTACTTCAATCTGTAACTCACCAGTTCAACGTGAAACTTCACTTTAGTCATATGTGTTAATCTTGAAACCCTATTTTCAAAGCTTTTATGGTTTATCTAGCCACAGTAAACTGGTTGAGGAACTCTGCCAGACAAAATGTGGTTTAGTCAGCAAGCAAAAGCACTAAGCATAATTCGGGGAAAACAGAAAAATCATGCTCAGGCATGCCTTAGTCTTTCAGTGCAGCGTAAATTTAAGATTCTGTTCTGAAATGACTTGCACTCGTGTGTGTATACAGCTTAATGGCTACGCTACTTGTCAGTTAAAGAACGTGGGTGTTGGAAACACATGCCTAATGTTGACATAAGGACACCTTCAGACAGATCAAATTATAGATCTTTTGTGCTCAGACAAGGCTGAGCAAAAGCTGGAATCAGTTTGCAAAGCAAAATGTATAAACACGATGCTGTACTTGAATTAACGTTCACCACATCTTTGCACAAAAAACAGCAAAGGAAAGCAGAACAAAATGATCCTACAGGGACACAACTATACAGTTTTCAGATAAGAACTGACTTGCTTCTAGACAGCTCAGAACACAGACAGAGGAAGTTCGGATTTGCCTGAACATGTTGTGGAACTGCCTGCCCTTCGCTCACAGTATGGTGGGTTTCCAACAAGCACATCTGTCGGACAAGAAGCTGAAAGCACCCCCACTTTTCCAATGTACAACCTATGCAAAATAATGCCTCTTACATGGCTTTAGATAGTGCTTTTGACAGAGTTGAACATAGTAAGTGATTTACGGGTACATGCTGCTGTGAGGTGAATGTGAGGAACAACGTAGGGGTTCCTGTGATGTTTGTGTTGCTGCGATTTACATAATAAAAGCTAGGTTTCTGAAGTAATGCCTTTAAACAAAAGGGTTTCTTTTTCTTTGCCCTTTAAAATCATGCAAAAACTTATTTTGCGTACTTTCTTGGGGGAAAAGATTTGTTACACACCGATATGGAAAATGAGTGTCATTAAAAATGAAATTTTGAAACAGAAGTACATTCTGCCAGGCTGATGGAGATCTGCATCACACAGCAGTTTTAAATGTTCCAAGGAAACGCTCCATGGATATTATCTGCTAAGAGATTATCTCCTAAGAGATTTGCAAGCAAAGAAAAAAAAACAATAGATCAATAGATCATAATTTTAGTTTTTCCATATAGTTGTGGTTCCTTTCCCCAGTTCACATCCTCCGCCTTGCAGTCCCCCATTGCGTTCTCCTTTCTGCTAACCTGAACCATGCTTCAGAAAAGTAACTCAACCAGCACGGGCCCCCCTCAGATCCTATGCAACGCAAACACAGAGATCTTACCTGATCTAGACAATCCCCGCAATTGTAAGTAGCCAGAGTTGTTCCATCATCCTGGCAGCACAGATCGAGGACCACACAGCCATGATCTTCAAAGGCATTGATTTGATGGAAAGTAGCAAAGGGCTTACTGTACCACTGCCCCGGCAGCACCTACAGTGACCATAAGAGAGGCTAAATTTCCTCGCTAAAGATCCCAGCCACACCTTGAAGAGTTTTCTCTTCTCTCCCCCATTGCATTCCCCTCTCCTTCCTTGGTACTTGTCCTGTGCCCTTGTGTTACTACAGAACAGCTGCTTTAAGCCAGTAAATAGGCAAAACCAGAAGAGGAAAAGCCAAAATGTAAAGCATCCCAGCACAGGCGCCTTGCTGTCCTGGACCTTTAATACTTCATAGTTCTTGGGAATGGCATTTCAGTCCCTGTGCTGCAGTCCCAAGAAGACCAAACTGCTTATTTCTGCCTGTTGTTTTAGGGCTGGCAAGGAAATCAATCAACAGAGAGGAAAATGCATGAAGTAATTCCATTTCTAATAAACCTACGCCCGTGCTTATAAACCCTATACTGCAGTATCTTCTGGATTGATTCATACAGCTATTTGTGGCTGCTACCCTGCACTCTTCTCTTGGGATCTAAGATTCCAGCTCCAGTTGCACAGTGGCTAGAAAGGCCAAAGATCCACCTACCTCCCCAGTGTGCTTATTCACCACGTGGAAGCAAGTATTGTACTGAGGCTCCCAGCTTATCCCATCAGAAATGGCTTTCCCACGGAGTTTGGAAGTGATAATCTCCAACAGATTCAGCTTGATGGGTTGCTCAATGAAAATGATGTAGTTTTCACTCATTCCTAAAAAGAGAAGGAAGACCACATCATCTGAGTATCAGGTACATGAGATGATAAAAAAATCTTGGGGGCAGAGGGCAGTGAACAGTCCTTTCTGCCTCACAGTAGGCTAAATCCACAGAGTTTGAGATAGAAGATATTCTTACCAAAGCTGTGATAGTAGGAGGGTTTCATCTTATCCATTGGAGCAATGGAGCACAGCACTTTAGCTCCCTCTAACGTGTCACTACAGTTTGACTTTTGCGGAGGGACCAGAATGATATTATACCTAGGTCCTGGAAAAGAGAAAGAGTGTTCAACACCACTGAGATGTGAGACTGTCCACATTCATTAAACCAAAGTCACGCTCGTTCCCTTCTGTTTCCCTAGAATACTAAGAACCACGGTTAAAAAACTGAGCAGAAAATGTTATCAAGTCAATAAAACAATCAACAGGGGATTACCTAGTCTGGTAGACTGCCATTTAATTTTACTGTCTGCAGTGCATTCCTTATGTTAACTTAGAAGTATCCTATAATAACAGGATCAGGAAGAAAACCGAGTTAACAGCTTGTGTATCAAAGGAAATTAAAACTTTAAGCCTTGGTGATGACTTACACTCATTTAATACATCTGAGCATATGGGCAGGAAAGAACAGCACATTTGAATAATAATCTACAGTTTGGTTTCTCCAGCTGAAAACAGCGTGTGCTATAAAGCTAGATATTGCTAAAGCCAAAAGGAAATGAAAACTGCAAGAATGAAAGATGATCAAAACTGGGCAACTGTTCAGTGAACTGGAACCAGCCTGAGGTATCATAATAAAGGGCAGTGGCTGTTTTTACAGGCAGCCTCAGGCACCTCAAAAAGAAGGCTTTCATGTAACTAACAGTGAATGCTAGCTCTGAGCAACCATGTCAACGTAACTAGATCCCAACTAGATGTAGTGCTCATAATTTTGGGAAGAAGAAAAATATCCCGGAAAGTTCAGCTTTGCTGTAAGATAGCACTAATAAATTCCACCTTCTCTCGTGTATAAACCCTTATGGTCCTTGTCAAAAGCCAATTATCCTAAGTGGAAAACATGTGGCTAATTGTCAAAATCCTTCAGATGAGGCTTCAACACTGGATGGGACTTTAAAAATCATTCTCCTGTTTGCCATCAAAGCTTGGAAAAGGAACAGGAGAACCTGTTGGATATTCACAGGCCAAAGTCAGAAGCATCTGAAACTAATTGCTGGGAGAAGCCATTTTTATGGGACAGACTGACACTCCGAAATTAGAACTAATCTGGTTTGCCAGCATTTTGACACAAAGAGAAAACAGCAATTTCAAGGTCTCTTTAGACACTGAAGTTCCTTCAACACCTGCTCCTTGAAGCAGCCGCAAGAAGCAGCCTGTACACCCTGCCCACAAGCCAGGCTTGGTCACGCTCAGCCTTACCGTGTTTCCCATAGGAATTGCCCATGTTGTATGTTGTCCCATCAGACTCATAATGAGGATGAGCAGTGGCCCCATTTACTGCAACAAATTTGCTCCAGTCTACCTGCAAATGCCAAAGATTTTCAGTCAGTATAGAAGTTTCCTGTTGCTCTGTAGCAAGCCACAGTTGGTTTCATGGAAGTCTGAGGAAGAACAGCCTGGTGATTATAGCCCTAATGTGGGATCAGGACTTAAGCCTGCATTTTGCCAGCCATCTTCCTGAAATCCTTGAAAATTAATGGGTTAGTCCTACCAGTAAAATGGGACCAATAGCACAAGACACTTCTCTGGGACACATGAACATTACCAATGGCAGGAGGTGTGCTGGCACAGTGGGAATGTTGCCCCACGAGCATTTTATCTAGGACCTCATGTAATAACCACAGACAGACATGCGTGAAGAGACAGTCACTGCCCCCCAAAATCACCCAGTTTGTTGAAAGCACCCATAGCTAATTGATGGTCAGTGTTATACTCTCCTCACCGAGAAAACCAGTTTAGCTTCACTGCCTCCAGCTAGAAGGCACAGTTAGAGCAAAGGTACAATTGTGAGTACTGTTAACACGCATTCCTGGGTTAGGGTGTGGATTGGGCTCAGTGAAGGGGATGTGTTGGGAAGAAAGTCTGAAGGAAAAGGGTTGGAGGAAGATCAAACCATACATTGAAATATTAAATATCTTTTAAGATATGCTTCTTTTCCAAAAGTTTAAAAAAATGACTTGCAAGTATCCAACCTGAGACCCTTTGGAAGACCCCAGGAGAAAAGAGTGACACACCCCTGGAAGCCTAGCAAACCATGTCCTTTTAAGGCACGTCAAATCGGAGAGTTTAAATGTGAAATCATCTCTTCCATTTCTTCACTTAGCCAAAAAATACCAGTCTGCATCTAAAACGAAGCTTAAGGGGAATTTTTTTTAATGACAAGATGGCTCAGCAGAGCTGAACATTGAAACTGAAAATACCCACACATCTTTTCATCACTGAGCTATGGTTTACAAAGCAGATAAAACAGCAAATCGTCGAACTCTCCATTGCAATATGCAAGTAGCATGCTATACTTCATAAACAGAGCTTCTTCATGACTGACAACTGATCCTGTAGGGAGGGAGGGACTCCTGAGATCTGAGGGTGTGCTGAGCCCGGTATTTTGTGGTATTAAATACTCCGTGGTAACGTACGGGCACAGCAGTGAATACTGACTCGGGAGTGGCAGAATCTTTCCTCAGTCCTTCTCACAGTTGTTCAGCCCCGACAATACCCAAATCCCTTCTAAGAGTTCAGGCAGGGGGACGTATAGCTGATGCTGTCATTTCACAAGTCACATTCATACCTCAGATACAGCCTGTGAGACCGTGCACAGGATACCTGGGAAGACTTCTACTCTGACTTTTTGTTTATTTGCTAGCATGGGAGAAAAAAGCGGCAGCTGAACATGGACTTGACTTTACATGGACTTCACCTCCTGTTCGCAACAGAGCTTTTAGTTAGGACTTGGAAGGGCCGTTTTGGAGTGTTTAAAGCTGGGGGTGTAAGGAGGAGATAAAGGGAACAGATAGGAAGAATGAAGAGACAGGGCAAGAATACAGATCTGAGATCAGTGATGTTAACTTCTTCCTGTATGTTAACTTCTTCCTGTATGCACTTCTATTCTTCACACACTGGTAGGTCCAGACAAGTCCAGACAAGCAGCGAGTGCGCTGGAAGAATGCCAGCTGTACCTACGCGGAAATGAGTCTATCTCTGTCTTCCCCCTTGCTTGCTACAGTGGACAGTGACTGAATCTTCACTCATGAGAGCTGCCTTGTTGCTAAGTAGATTTTTCAGGGACTCGAGCACACCAGGGAGAGATGCTGCTTGTGGCTATGGCCCAGAGCTGCCCTGATCATTTCTTTTGGAATCTGGGTTCCCACTTGCTGCTCTTGGAAACAGCAAGGAGTGATTCTCCCACACCACAAACTAACCCCGTTATCCCACCTGCCCACACCTTTTCCTTCGTGTCAAGTGTTTCTGGGTCCACTTTGTACATGAAGATGTTCTCACTGCTGACATAATAGTCTCCTTTATACACAACGTAGTTCACACTGGCATTGTCACTCGGTTCTGAAACGAAATCCCAGAGTTGTACACAGCTCTGTTTAAGCTCACGTCACATTATCGCAAGTTAGACATCTTTAAACAAATAAACCCATCTGCAATGACACTAATCCCTCTGTGATTGATTAGAAATATCTCACTAATCTACAAAGGCACTCCGGAAACTGTCTGTGCAGGTGAGTTCAGGATAAAAGGACAAGGACCGGTTCTCATGGAAATCACTACAGGGGAGAAAAGATAATATTTTTACTTCCATATGCTCTTTGTTTCTGACCTCTTATTTCTTCTTATCCCTCTCCCTTTCCTCCCTAGCCAAAGTCCTCTCCTGTGGCAGCCATATGAAGGAAGAGTGCCATGTTTGATTTACAGCATTGGAAACAACAGAGGCAAGACTTGAAGCTACAGCTTGGGCTGAGAGGAGGGTGAGGATGCTATTTGTGTCCCAGTGCTTGGACGGGGAATGCTGCTTCTCCCCTCTTTCTCTTTAAAACTGACACAGGAGGAATGGCCTGTATGGGTGTGAAGAGTCGAACAGCCAAGGGTGTGCAGGAACCACCTGCTGGAGCTTGGCAAAGATAAGGGATGTAGATAGTTCTGAAATGTATTGAGAGAGCTGGGCTGGGGAGCTGGGGAGCTAGGCAGACCACTGCGTGAAGGTATGAGCACCTTTGAAGAGAACAGATGACATGGCAGGGCAGGATCCATCTCCTCAGGGAAGACAGGAAGCAGAAGATGCTCACACACGTGAGCAACTAGTTGCAAACTTTAGGGCTATTCTGGCTTTAGTGGAAAATACTTTGTATTTAAGGCTATTTCTTTCCTGACATGCACAGATTCCCATAGGTAATGGTAGTGTCTCTCACCCTACTCATATCATCTCCTGTACCTTAGCACAGGAAGGGAAGGATTAGCCCGCTTACCCTACAAGCTTAGCAAGGCAAGGTGTTTTAAAGGCAAAGCTGTGTCTCGGGTACAACAGCCGATTGTAATGCTTATTACCAGGACTGCACAGGGTGTCCTTTGGGGAACAACATCTGTTGGAAATTTGCAACAAACTCTGGAATCAGGTGAGCTGAAGTGGCACTAACACATTAAAATGAATGTGCATCTCCCAGCTAAGTCTGACACCAACTAGCATTTTTGTTGTTGTTGTTGTTCCACGGGGTCCTCTTCTAAGCAAAAAAAATGGGCTCAGAATAGGCCTATCAGACTTCCTCACATCTCCCTTTAAATCTAACCACAAGTTCCCCTAGAAAATCTCTGAACATTTCTTATTTCTTAGAAACTCTCTTACGTGGCATCTCAAAGCGTGACATGAAGCGCCCAAAGACACTTTTGCATGGGTCTGGCATTGCCAGCGTCCCAAATTCTGAGACCACGATGCGGTTGTGCTGGCTGTTGGTCAGGTAGGAACTGCTCTGCAGAAACTTGCTCCGGTATGTCACTGTGCCATTCTCCAACTGGAACTGATGCATCAGGGCCATGCCATCAAACCAATGGTTAAATCTTCAAGAAGAGATAAGAGAACAAGAGTTGGGCACTATATGATGTTCTCCTATACAGTCCCTCTTGCCTTTAGGTTTATTATTGTTTGTGAAAAGCTAATGCCCAGATCCCATAACCACTTAAACATGCATAGCCTTGTGATGAGTCTGGGAAAACACTGTGTGAAACAAATCAGGTGTATTTGCAGCTGTGGGACCTGAAGTTAGATGCTGGCTTTCAGAGAGATTTAGGTTCCCTATATTACTTTTGAAAGTGGACCTCAGAGACTTCTGAAAATGCGATGTATGAGCTTTTCAGGGAAACCATCTATACTGGTAAACCAATCACTATGCAGACGTCTGCACAGGGAATAGAAATTGTGCTTTACTGTACAACAAGAACAGAAATGATTACTGCAAGCCCAACTGCACAAGAAGGAGCCTTTGGCTCTCAGCTGTTTGCAGGATGCTATTCTCTCTGAAATGAGAAATCTCTGAGACCAAGAGAAAACCATACGATCTGTCTCTGGAAATATGATAAGATGATCACCTTTGGCCAGTTGCTGCTATTGGCTTTGTTGGAGGAAGAGCCAGGTTTGTCAATTAGCTAGAATGGCAGATTCCAAGACAAAGGCAGTAGCTGCCTTCTAGAAATATTTTAATATACTATTTTTAGAACATGATGGATTTTCTTCTAAAGCAACTCACACAATTTGGTGCAATCAACTTCACAAATCCTGCCCCAGATTCCAGAGTGCTCGTGGGATGGACTTTTGTTAATGACAAAGTACTAGGAGTGTGGATGTTTTAATCCCCGGCTCTGTTCCCTCATTATATCATCGTGAGTAGGTCACAGCCTCTCTGTGACGCAGCTTCTCCAACCTCAATAAATTAACCACGCTCCTATTTTCAGAGAGCCCACTGGGAGTTTCCAGATGAGGCAGCAACTGTTCTTGAAAGAATGAGAACATAAGCATTTCTTCCTTGCCTTACTTAAAAAGAAACTACAACCTGCTCCAAACAGTAGTGAGACATTTGGGGGTTCCCCTTTAGGTTTAGGCAGAGCTAAGGCCAGAATAATTTGATGAACTCACCAAACCTAGACTTACTTCTCCTCGCCAAACTCAAACTTCCCAGGACCATTCCTCAGAAGATTGCCATTAATCCATTCGGGAATATGTCCTTTGATCTTCGCTGGGATGGGCTGAGGGGTCTCCTCTACCGTCTGCACTAAGGGCGAGATGCATTGCAAACCCTTGGGGCCGTGGAAGGTGATTTCCTCTTTTGATGGGCTGGGCAGGGAATTCTTTAAACCTGCAAAGAAAGCAGTGAGTACAAAAAGCAAGTAACTACGATTTTCACTTGAATAAACACACAATTGCTAGAGCTTCAGTTTGGATGTCTAGGAGAATAGCATTCAGCAAGCAGCCAAGCTGTAGTGGATACTCAAACTAAAGCTGTGTTCCCATAATACCCCACACATCCACAGGGAGCTGAAAATCCAGTGGATTTAACTCCCCTGTAGCTAATCCGTTAGAAACACCTGTTCTGCAGTCCAAAAGAGGCAATAAAATACACGATGATAGGAAAGAAGAGAACTTTTCTTTTAATTAAAGAAACTTATAGTTGGAATTTATTTCAAGAACTAACCGAGAGCAAGTAAATGGATATTTATTAGAAGAACCTACGAGATTGCAAAAAGAAATCTGTTCCAAGTTGGGATGATACGCAAGGTAATACTGAGGGGGAGCCCTAAAAATAATCTCCTAGTGACTTCTGCCAAGCAATCTGCTGAAGAAAGTGACAGCAAGGAGTTAGTCTGACTGCTGCAGACTGAAGCCACAAGCAGAAAGATGTAATGAGGCAGCAGCGTGTAAAGCAGTGCATGTTGCCTTTACACGACAATGCTGCCAAAAGCAAGGGAGAGCTGGGCACACCTCAGATAGGAAAACTGCATTCTAAAACACCCTCTAACTCCTCCTTGGCATCACAATCATGGGTGAGTTAAAGAGAAAAAAAATTTCCATTTTATACAGCCTTTAATCTTTCTAGCCATATTCATTATTAGTTCTTCTGTAGACCCAGATTTTCTCCCTTTCTGTTTGCAAAGTAAGAAAACTTTTTTGTAAAGTCCTTGACTGCAAAAGTTTTTGCAGTAAAGCGTACACAGGAAAGAAAAATCAATACAGCACAGAGCAAGCTGAACAAAAAGGATAAGGACAAGCAGTGTCCGTGGCTTTGAGGTTTGGAGCATGGCAAATAAAGATATGGTTCATTTCAACTCCATGCTCCCAGATTGGCTGCAAGGATCGCTCTGTAGCCTGGGCTATGCCATCGCAACCTGCGCTGTGCTTATGTTCACTGCTGCTTACAGATAAGTCACCAATGCAGCAACACACAATTTAATGAGACGCAGGATCCAGGTCAAATCATGGTCAGTGCTGCCTCAGACGCCTCTGCCTAGGACTTAATCTGAGCTGGGTTCACTAAGGGTTTCTGAAACAATGTTGAAAAATTTGTGCTATAAGGTTCCTCACAGTAAGAAGCAGCATTTTTTGCAGCTAAATTTAATGCATGGTTTTCCTAATGCTGACCATTTCACAGTGAAGAAATGTTATGCTTACAGTGTTCCTTTTAACTTGAACAGTCAGGTGTACAGGTCAGTTCTCAAACTCACCAGTACCACCTGATTTCAGAAGCTCAGAAAGGTAATCACTGGCTTTTCCCCTTGCACAAAAACAAACCAACAAAAACCCAAAACAAAACAAAAATGCACCCCCCCAAAGAACTGAAGTCAGGAAGACCACGAATGAAACTGAGCTGAAATACATTTGCAGGACAGGACAAAAAAGATTAAATAGATTTACTTGGTAAGTAAATAAGCAATAGCAGAAAAGGATAATTTCTAATGGAGCCTCTTGTCTGAATGCAATATCCTCCTTATGAGGTATAGTTCTAGGACAAAAGCATCAAGAAAGCATGAAATGACTGGAATGCTGTGTGCTAACAGCACACAGTCAGTTGTTTGTTCCAGCAGCCTGGCTTGCAAAGCCTCATCAACACGAGGATTGTTTTAGCAATCCATTTAGCTGCAGAGGTGGATTTACCTAGAAAGTACACAGGCTGTTGCCTTCCCTCCCAGTGCTATCACCTCCTCGTCTATCACAGGCTTCATGTCCACAGGTCAGTGGAGCTGCTCTGCTACTGTTCCATCATCCTCACTGTAAGACCATTGAGCTCTGAACTAAGCTGGAACTGATGAACATTTAGCTGTAAGTGAAACACTGATAAAAAAGGACAGTGTAGCATACAGAAATCTATTCCCGAACCAGGTCTAGTACAGACAAGACCACACACTAGAGTCCAGGCTGATACTGAACAGCATTCTGATTTTCTGAGACAGCAATTTGTTCTGGTTACACCAGTCACTTTCACCACTGCTTCTTCTAGCCTACATTCTTTAATCCAGGTGATTAAGTGAAGCTGCTGCACAATTTACCTTTGAGCCACTGAAGCCACATGTTCACATCTACAGAGGAAATTTTTGCTGTTTCAGACAGGAGAATATCTGCAAAAGAACTGAGCTGGCAGACAGCATTTTTCTAAGCTTCCTTCTTTAGAACAGCCACAGATAGAATGGGTGTTAGGCATGCAGGAAGGTGAATTGCAAGATCCCTTCAATGCAGTTCTCTGGCTTGCCAATCCTCAAATCCTTCTTTAGACCTCTAATATGGTAAGTCAGCTAGATAAAGAATTCAGTCTGCAGGGCTAAAGCAATTAACCTCCAACCACCAACATCCTCTCCCTCTTAAAATTCAATTAAGTTCTGATTAAATCCTATATGAAGCACTCAATCTGATCCCAACACTAGTGCTTCAGGGTATTTCCCTAGGCATAAGGAAGCAGAGGCTTTTCATATCAACTAAAACCTGGCAAGCTTAGTGACTGCCACGAGTACTTGCAGAAATGTGGCTTTAGTGGACCAAGCTAAAGTTTGTAAAGGTGTAAAATATGCAGGAAAAAAATGAGAGCAATGTGTCCCTAAGGAGACATTTTTGCATCCAGGCAGAAACAAAGATGGCATGACCAAGGATGGCACTACATAGAAATTTCCTGGAGAGCAGCGTAACTACATATGGGAATTTAGAAAGATAAAGTTCACAAAAGAGCCTGAATAGGACTGGAAGAGACCTTCCAGGTCATCTCCTCCCAACTGCTGTCCCAGAAAGTCATATGTATAAACTCTATCTTGAAAGCGACTATGTGTCCTGGCACTTATGCCCTCTTTGGAAGACTGCTCATTGCCCAGATGCTGAGAAAAATCCTTTCAATTTGCAGAAGGACGTTATTCATAGGGCAGTTTGTCCCTCTTGTTCTTCTGTCAGCAGCGCTAGGTGGCTTTGGTAGTTCTCCCTCTCTTGTGTTTACCACACGTTGTATTTAGAGCGAGCAATCACAGCACTTCCTAAGCTAAGCAAGCCAGGTTCTTTTCCTTCTCCTTCTCCTGCGATAGCCTTGCCATTCACATAATCATCTTAGTAATTCTTCCTGAATTTTGGTCTGGTTAGAATTCATCAAGTTAGAATCCATTTCAACACCCAGTCTAGGAAGCGTCTGAGAACAGGCTGTATACAAGGATGGAAGCTAATACCCTGTCCTATCAGACCAGGGAGAAAGAAACAAGCATAGCAAGATTCCTGTTGGGAACCACTCAAATGAGCTGCAGATCCTGACAGTAATGCATGCAAAATGTCATCAAACCATGATACCCTAACGAGTCAATACAGAAGTTTTCAGAAACATGAGAAGTCATTCTAGGACAATTTTGAAAAGCCAAGAAGAGAGGAGGGGTGCAAGAAAAAAAAATAAAAAAAGAAAAAAAAGAAAAAGACCCCAAAAACCAACCAACCAACCAAGACGTTTATTCTGGTGAGTTTGTTCTGAAGAGATTCAGGACAAGAAACAGAAGGCAAAAATAAGGATGGCCTTCTCTAAACTCAGCAAAACACATGCAAAAAAAAAAAGTATCTTTTGCTTGCATTATGCAAACTGCCTCAGTATTGCAGACCACTGGTCTGATCTAGAAACAAGATGTTGTCAGGGGGTTCCTCAGTGACCATCATCTACAAAGTAATGCAGCTTTGAGCAGCCCCAGGGTGGTTGTGTAGGTATGGTCAGACAGGTTCTTTGCAAGGACTTTATGTAACCTGCCCCTTTTTTTCTTTTTTTCAAGACTCATTATCTGTGAAATGTACTGAGATTTGATCAGTACCAGCAGCAGCAAGACCAGATGGGCCTAATGCAGCTCATTTCCCCCCCTCAGCACAGGAAAGGCTTGCATTCATTCCGAAAAAATCCAGCTGCTGCAATATGTATGCAGGACAGTACAATACAGAATAAACACATCAAAAGAAATTGTTTTGTTGCTCGTCTGCCAGTGACCATAGCTCTGTTTAAAAAAAAATTTAAAAAAACCCACCATGGCTGCGCATCCTACACTTCTTCCCTATTAAAAAACCCCAATAAATCTGAATAAAGTCTACCCTCCAATTTTAATCACAGTTTAATACTAAAAACCTGCACCTACTCTGAAATACACTGAGCAAACAGAACACAAACACTTCCTACTTGAATGCACTCTTGATGAGCAATTGTAATAAAGACGAATCACCTTCAGATAAGAGCTCGATCATAAAGCTTAACTTGCTGTAATACCTAGCTACCCAGGAAGACACCAATCTCTGCAAAAGACAGAAGACAGACTGGTTTTTCATGCTGAGTGACATGTAAACAAAATTAAATACCGACTCTGCTCTACTGTTCTGGCTGCACTCCAAGATAGAAAAACTTGCATAAGCAATCAAATAAAGGCACTACAGTCCCAATGGGGCTTACTGTATTTGCTTGAACATAATACCTGAAAATCAGCACAAGATTACAACCAGCCATCTCAAAAAAAAAATCTCATTTCTGGGCTATAATTTCAATTTTACCTCAAATCTTTAAAAAATAGGCTTATAGATCTAAACCTACTTTGGCACATCAGAGCAGAGGAAGTGCCAAATACAGCATTGTCATTTTTCTTCAAATCTTTTTGAAAGGTTGTAAGTAATTACTACAGAATTATCATAGTCTGGCATTGTTTATGTACTGCTTCCATTCGAAGAGTGGTGTGCCATCACAGTGGAAAAAAGGACAGGGATCTTGAAAAAGTTTCTGTACAGAAGAAGCCACCCCACCTGCTTTGAGTAGGGTAGCAGTGAATCAGACATTAAATTGCACTTAAACAGCAATGGGTGGGACAGAAAATCTTAACAGTGGATAGAGGAAACACAGAAGCCACTTGCTAGCTGTGAAATAGAAATCACGTTGGATATATCAAATACACTTTGATTTTAACCTACGTTGATATTTTTCCAAGCAGGGAAAGTGAAGCAAGATTTCTGTTTTCCCTTAGGATTCATGCAAATTCAGAACAACCACACAGCTGATTTGGAAAGCCTCTGGCACAAGATACGGGCCACATTATGGTCCCTGTAAATCACAGATTGGAACAACAGGACAAGACAACAATCTTTCCCCACCCCAACCTGAAGTTGCTGTAGCTGTTGGTTTCTGCCATTCAGGCTCTAGCCTTCACCCTCCGCCTTCACCAGGGTCGAACCCCTTGGCTCACCTGAGTGTCCCACACTGATTTCTGAACTGAAGTTGTTGCACTTGCCTTGCGCCTGCTGAGAAGTCCCCGTACTTAACTCCTTGTTCCATCTAGCTGGTTGATTTCCCATTGTCAGGGGCTCAGTCACCCACTTCCTTGCTAACAGGCAAAGAAGAACATAAAAGAAGTGACAGAAAACACAGGGGGAAAGAAATGGAGCAAAGGAGTGGGAGAAAGGCTTGTCAAAGGGAGGCAAGGGAGAAAAGCAGCTGTGAACCGTGCATACTCTCGCATGTGAAATATCTGTTGCTTTCCCCAAGACACCTGTAGAAATACATTCTACACTTCGGGGCTGTTTTCTTGACAGCATGAAGAGAGTGTAATTTCTTTGTGAAATGTTGATTTACACAATCAAGTCCTTGGAACGCTTCTCCTAGAAAAATTTTTCCGGTGTCATGGGAAACATGCCAGATGAAATAAATTTTGTTCACACTTCTTTCTTTTATTATCACCATTTCACTCAAATGCCTGAGCAAATAATAGAGATGTTTCTTTTTCATGATTCCACATTCTCACCTTGTAGCTAAATGGAGACAATTCTACATCAGCAAGCTTTTTCACTAAGACCTTAGTAAAAGTCAGGGAAAATCTGTAATTTTCAAAAAGATACAGAAAATGAGGCAAGGAGATTTGCAGGCTTTTCATGTCACTCAGGTAATCAAGATAAGAAACACAGCTCTTTATTTTTTCTATGCAATTCTGCTTCAAGACATAATGAAAGAGGTAAAGTGCAAGAGAATTTAAATTCAGCAGAGCCCCGGTTTTACCAAGTTTATACAGTTGTTGCAATCTGCTAGCAGATCAAAAGAACATCACAAATTTACTCATATAAGCCTTTTTTCCCCAGCAGAAAAGTACTTTATCACACTCTGAAATGCTAACACCATAGGTTGCTTTATATAATATTCCCAATGTTAGACTTAATATTTGGTTATTTAGTCTGCACTAATTACTCTGCCTCCAAAATTTCTGTCTTCTGTCCCACAGATGTGAGATAAGGCTGATAACACATGCCTTACACCACCTTAGGAACATGTGCAGTGAAAAATAAACCTCCTAGACTCAATTTGTATCCATGGATGTGCTCTGGTGGCACAACAAGGCAGGTTTGAGAACCTTTCAGATCTTTGGATACCCCAGAAGCAATCTTTTGATTCCAAAGGGGAGGAAAACACCACCACCACCATAAAAAAAAAAAAAACAGATATTCTGGTGAATTAAGTAATGATCTTTATTGGTTCCTATATTGTGATAACAGATCTCACTCTCTTAGACAAAAAAAAAAAAAAAACCAAAACAAAAAAACAGCTCAAGTTGTGCAATGATGGCACAAATTACAGAGTTTGGTGGTAGTTTCCCTTTGGGGTAGTTTCCCACTTGTATGTTCAGATCAAAGCTTCAGTAATGTCACTGCTCTAAACAATCCTCTCCCTTTCACAGCCCACTTACATGCCTCACAGCAGGTTCCCTTGCAGGGACAATCCACTGCCTCCTGGTTTTCCAGCTCTATACCATCAGTATCTGTTAGTAATCCAATCTGTGCAACGCACTTGCCTCTCCTGTTCACCTTCTCAATACACAACAGAGAATTTCTGGCTGCTGACAAACACTTCAAATTGCTTAGTTCCTCATTTCTGATCAATAGAAATGAAATTCCTCTACAGACCTGTGTCAGCAGCAGCTCTTAACGGCAGCAGAAAACCCCTTTCCAAGACGATGGGATAAAAGCACTTGTTTGTTTATGCATTTTACCTGGAATAAATTGCAGCAAAGAGCAGAGGAAATCCCACAAATTAACAAGCAGGAGGCTGACGGCAAACAAAAGGATTTTGGAAAACATATTCTGCTTGGAAGAAGGCATCAGGTCGGCGATGGTCAGGCGGCAAAGGTACCGGTGCAAGGATGATGGTGTGCAGCCAGCACTGATGGTTGGGAGAGCTGCCTGACATCATCACTTCAGAATAAAAGCCGGGAATGTCTGTGCTGCCAGGGCAGGATGAGCCAGCCAGCCAGCCTGCCCTGCAGTGCTCCAGCCCGGCCAGGCGGTCGCAGGGCATGGGGGAGACCTGCCTGCACCCCAGCAGCCCTTAGAGCCTCTCTGCGGCTGGGCCAGGTGAGTTGCTGCATGTCAAAGCATACCCTACTGCTGGCAGGAAAAGTGCCTTATCACTACTTGCCAGTTGTAGCTGGAGAAATTAGAGGACAGGGTGAGAGGTATCTGTGTACGGAGGTAGCCAGGCTTCAAGGCAATTCTTTTAAAAATTCTTGTCACCTTGTCTCATCTTTTTCACCTGTCAAAAACACTTTGTTTTCTTTCAAAATCTGCATAACCATTTTGCACATCAAAGAATCTCAAAGCTTTATTAATATTGGTTGCCCCACCAGCTGAAACCATCAAATCAGATCAAGAAGGACCAGTGATAGGCTGTGCTCTGCTGTTCCAAACTGTGATGGACCTTAAATGGACACTGTCCTTCAGGGTGCCGAGGGGAAGCTGCTAGCACTTTGCAAACGCACTGTGCTGACTACATTTGTTTCATGTTATTAAGTAGCTCTTAAAAGCTGCCCTAGCCCTTGAGGGAGAGCGAAGCAGCATACACAGCGCTCCAAGGAGCCCATTCCACTGTCCTTAAGATGGGACAGATCATCACTCATCCTAAATATTCTGCTGCAGACTAGGTTGATTTCTTCTTACAGAGATTCTATGATTTAGCAAAATTGAATTCTGGTGAGTTCTAGACAGAATATAATGCCCCTTAAACACATCTATTACCTACTCAGTTTGGTCTTTTTCTAGTATGATCCACATTCCTACATCTATGCTAAAAAGCAGTTTAATTTTAAGTAAACAGTCACAATTAGCCTTTTCTCGGGGAAGAATTCTCTTTGCTGAATACCTAAGCTGTCTCTGCATTATCTGTTATTTTCCATTTTCAGCTTTTAGGTAATAGAAGAGCAATCTTACACTTACCAGACTGTGGAGGTACTCACAGCAAGCTCAGAAATGCAAAAGACTCACTGTCAAAAATCCCCTTGACTTCAAGAGGGTTGGAACTTTGGCTAAGACGTTTCCACATTTTTTTTTAAAAATCCATTTATACTCTGTTACTGATCTGTCATCTTAGACGTTCTTGTTAATTTACTAAGGCACTACCACTTAAACAACAGGGGGAGAAGCTTAAAGAAAACATAGCTACTAGCTGAGCTTTGCTGATCAGATTTGGCAGCTTTAAAGCCAATTAATTTTCTGTTCAAACCTCCTTCAGTAAAACTGGAAAGCAGATAGTGATGGGATGGGTGCCAGTTGGATTTCATGTGTAGCTCGTTCCTCCCAGACAGAATGAATGAGCTTTTAGTTTCATATCAGAAGAAGAGAGTAAACAAATTGGTTTGTTTCTCCCAAATACCAAAATCCATGAGAAGCAATCAGTGCAGAAACATCATTAGCAGGATAAATAAACTGTAGACAAATAGGAAAACAGTAAAATTTTATTTTCTAATCATTTAGAAGAAAAACTGTGTAACGAATATTCCCATATATATAGATATTGAGTGTAACACTGAAGGGCAGCCAACAGAAAAACGCTCTGTATTTTTAGCCATCAAAGTAATTATGGAAAGCTCCCTTTTAAGCAGGAAGATATTTACGTATGAAAGCAACTAATAACAGGATATATCCATTGCTGAAGTATTTTTTAACTTCAAAAAATAAGAGACTGGTTTATTTTCAATGGATGTTTTAAACTTCCTGAACTTACCATTTCAAGCAGGAACTTTATAAAACTATATATTTTATTCATTTTACTTGGTCAGTGCTATTTTTATATATATCCTCACATAGAGTTATGCAGCAAAACCAGAAGCTTTGTTGCTCTTAGGAATTTTAAAACGATTTTTTTAAAACACCTATTTCAAAATCTTACAAAGCTTTGAATGACTTCCCTTTAATAAGCATAACCACACTGTTCATAATCTCAGCTGGGTTACTATGGCCATACTTACTGACTTTATTTTCAATGTCTCTTCAAATTCTAAAATCCCCTTACTAGCACAGAGATCCAACTCTAAATTATGACATGTAACGGCAACCAACTGCATAAGAAATCACTGTAGAAAAAGTCATCATCTAGAGAGGTATGTCTTGAATTTAACTGCACTCGAATACCAGACTAAGCAGTTCTTCATTCTTCTAAGGACAGTTTTACTAATTTTTATTGGATTTTATGAAGTTTTAAATAGAGCAAACTTCTGCAACAGTAACACTGGGGGTCTGTGACTTCTTTATCCCCTAAGGGAAGAAATTTAGATTATGTGATCCAATAGATTTCTCTAAGTTCTGCCTCTTAATAATACTTAATACTAGAGCCAAGGTTTGCAACTTGGATATATTAGCCACACAAACCAACACAGGATAATCTAAATCCAGGTGATCTAAAAAGGTTACATAATTTTCCTAAGCACGAACAGATAATGTGCAGCAAGCTTCTGACTTTGGTAACAGGCAGATATTTAACAGCAATTAAAGTTGTGTAAGTTTTCTTTACAGGCTTACATAAATAACTAGGTAAATTTCTAAATTCAGACACTTCATAAATAACAATTTAAACTTCTTTTTGTTGTCATTCTAGATGATTGTAGATTTTAGAAACACTCTGCACAATATTCTAGAAAATTTAACTTCCAAAATCTTCTCTTTTTATGTTACTTTCTTCTGTTTAAACAGCACTACCAAGACAGATTACAAAATGAGATGCAATTATTTGGAAAAAGTAAGAGACTGGCAAAATATGATTTAGACTAGTGGCGAGATTTTTGAAAGTCTTTAGATGCTAAAGATGCAGATAGGCACCTTAAGGGATCTTCAAAAATTCCTAAGCATGTAAGGCGCTTACATGCTTAGGCACTTTGAAAATCCTACTAAGTACATATCTGTACCTTTAGGTAGCTAAATACCTTGAAAAATCTCACTCTACATGTCCAGTTTCTCTCCTTATTTGTTTTAAATAGCATCAGTCTGACAGGTAGCACAGTTGCTTGGGACTTTTTTTCTAACAAAAGGAGGGAAAGGATTATTGAGTAAGTCTGAAAGGATTTAAAGAGAAAATTAATACACAGTACTGGGGTAAAGATATAAATATATCTTCTGCTAGCAACAGGACTATCTAGCACTTTTCTTTATTACATTAGCCTCAAAATTTGTACAAATGGTGCTTTGTACATTTTATGTTTCACCGTTTTTAACAGAGTCAAATGACAAGAAAGAAAAAGTGCTCAAAAATCTCCAGAAGAATCCTTAAATAAACTGGATATCCAGCAAACAATACTGATGTATCTAAATAACAAAATAAAATAGCAGTGTAATCCTGGATTATGTTAATATTATCTAGTTATTTATTGACATTACTTGCAAAGGTTTGATGATGTGCTTTTATGTTTATGTCAAAATGGCCTTGGTTTCATTTGAAAAGCTGTAGAATAATTTAAAAATATTTTCAAATTAAGACATTATGACTCTTTATACATTTCCCAAAATAGTATTCTTAATAGAACTCTCCTACTTCTAAGTTGATCTTTTCAATCTATATTCCGAGACAACATGGTAATAAGATTGCAAGTACATTTTACTAACATTTTAGCACCAAAATATTTTCTAAAGTAGAAAGAAAAGAAAAAAACAGAAAATAGTTAACATGAAATAATCTGAGGTCCTTTTCCACTTACATTGCAAAATTCTATGTTTCATAGAAATGTTTGTGTACAATGTTCTAGAGCAAAAGATTGGATGTGACAGTAAAATAAAAAAACATCCTTAGCAGTGACATTAGAAATACTTCGGCTGCTTCTGACTTTGCTTATATTGAACTTCCATAGCCTTAAAGTCAAACAATGAAAAATTCATTCTACTTTCTTTTTCAAATGTTTCCAATATTTTCTAGGGATGGAAGCACAGGGACAGCCTAAGCAATGGGTCAACAAGTAAAAAAAAGATGTTTTAATGTGTAGAATCCCTTGGAGTCACAGGATTTTAAATGGATATTTAGTATTATTTTCTTTACTCACTACCACTACCCTGTGTACTGTACTATTTAAAAAATAAGTTGCTGCCTAAGTTGTTGTAAGTTTCCTGAACTGCTAGAAATATTTACATAAGACATTTATGAAACACTCATAGCACTCATCATAGTTTGTATTTTAATACATAAAATATACTACAAGTTTTGTTCTGCATTTCTGCAATCTAACAAACTCCATTTAGCTCTGCAGAGTATTTGTGATCACAGTGAATCTCTGTTTCAGACTCTCCCTTTTCTGTTTTAAGTGGGTTTCTATGGTCCTCGCTTCTTTTAAGATTCCATCAAGTTCTTGGACATAAGAAGCATCCATCGCTGCTCTCTCACTTAATTGAAAAAATCTGTAGTTAAAATCAATACTAAAGCCATTAACTTTCGCACTACTTAAAGCTGCTTTTATGCTTTACTTAAAAATGTGTTGTCCATCAATACTGTTTCTGACCAAATTTGTTCTCTGCTGTAACAGAAACAGCATTTTTATTTCAAGATCTGTGTTTGATAGTTTTCAGCACTAATTTCTCTCAACTGCAGCCACAGTAACCCATCTTATCTAGAGAAGTTAGAAAAGTGCTGTACAAATAGGACAAAGTTAACTTGCCTTAAAATGTGGCCATATTTTGATAACAAGTTCTTAATTTCTTTGTTCATCTCTGTTAAAAGAAACAAGTAATTTTATTTAAACATTTGAATTAATTTTAATCTCAACGTCCAATTAGGTCATTACATAGTTACTGTCACTATATGTAATACATCACCGTTTAAAACTTTTTCCAGTGGTTCAGGTTTGTGA